CCCTACCCTACCCTACCCTACCCTAACCTACCCTACCCTACCCTACCCTACCTTACCCTACCCTACCCTACCCTACCCTAGTCCCTACCCTACCCTACCCTACAATCCCCTACCCTACCTTACCCCTACCCTACCCTACCCTACACTACCCTAAACTACCATACCCTACCCTACCCCTACCCTACCCTACCCTACCCTACTCTACCCTACCCCTACCCTACCCTACCCTACCCTACCCTACCCTAACCTACCCTACCCTACCCTACCGTACCCCTACTCCTACCCTACACTACCCTACCCTACCCTACCCTACCCTACACTGCCACCGACAGTCCAAGTTTCAGCTAAATCGGCCGAGAAACGGCTGAGATATTGCAAAAACAAATTAATTGTATTTACTGGCGAATCCTCTTGGCGAGTGGTGCCTTGTGTCGGCCTTCGTTGCCAAAGGTCAATGACCTGCCGATTATTTCCACTCAGTTTTTTAAGCGAACAACTGAGCCTAAAGCACGTGCCCTCTGCTCGGCGCCGGTCGCGAATCTAATGCTTACCCCATGGCGCACATGAGCACGCGCCACGGGCGCACCCCCGGCCGCATCGTGCCCAAAAATTAATACAACCTGTTTTATTACGTGACCCACGAGTCGTCAAAATTTCACCGTCCTGCGTCAATCGACGGCGCCAAAATAGCCGTTTGTGGGCGTCACGCCGCCGGCGTAACCCCGACGGCGGCGGACTTTTTAAGATTTATAATAGTAGATTGGCCGTTAACCCTATTCCTGGCGGGCTCCGCCGGGACAAGAAACTGGCGGGGGGGGGGCCGATTCGGCCCCCCCCCCCTGAGATCTCGAGAACGAAGCAAGATAGCGACAAGCGGTAAACGGCATCGGATACGCACGGCCAAGATCTACAATTTTTACTAAGGTCATTTTCAGGTCAGGTCAAAGATGACGTCACAGGGGTCGAAAAAGTCAAAATGGCGGCACTAGATATGGAGAGAGTTTTTCTCGAATAACTTTCGAATTAGTCAAGATAGGAACAAACTAAGGGCATCATCGTGATCCTCTCGTCAATCCGCATCGAATGATATATATGTTGACCTCGAAAGGTCAAGGTCAAAGGTTGACCTCAGGTCACGTGACCTCGAGGTCATCATGTATATCATTCGATGCGTCTTGACGAGCTGAACACAATGAGACCATCCACGCATCTGTATCTTGTTCCTGTACGGAGTTATTGGCCAAAAACATTTGGTGACCTTTGATGACGTCACATGACCTCACAGCTGCCCAACAGCAAAACAGACCTCAAGGTAGTGAAGGTTGATCGTATATGAAGTCATGTATGGTATATGGGGCCATTCCGACCCGTTTTAGTGGTAAAAACAGGGAGTTGATTTTTCCCCCATTGACTTATAATGGGGAGGTCGCGAAATTGACCTGACCTTAGGTCACCGATATCAAAATTCCGAGATATACAAATTGCACATACTGGTACCCTAACTAAACCCTGAAGAGAAGAAATTGATCGGCCAAAAACTCTAGCTCTGGCGTGATTGCAAACTTTTCTGAGGTAGCGTCACCAAACCGCCTCTGGTGACCTGACCTGAGGTCAGATCAACTCAAAATTTTCAGACATGTTGCGTAGAAGCCTTTTAGGAAAAGTCAGAAAATTTGAGCTTCCTAGCTCAACGCGTTTGGGAGATATAACCAAAAAACCTCAGGGGGGGCTCCTGAGGCCCCCCCCCGCCAGGAATAGGGTTAAGTCGTTAATGGTGCACAATACCACCCCAAAAAGGCACATTTTCGGAATCAGCGCATCGAGGAGGCCCTGTACACCGATTTTCAGCTATATCGAAAGACCCCGCCATTTTCCATTAAAATGTTAATTGGCCGTTAACCCGTTAACGGTGCAAAATACCACCCCAAACAGATACATTTTCGGAATCAGCGCATCCAGGAAGCCCTGTACACTGATTTTCAGCCAAATTGAAAGACCCCGCCGTTTCTCGTTAAAGTGTTTATTGGCCGTTAACTCTTAATGGTAAGAAATACCACCCCAAAAAGGTACAGCCCACTTAAGTAATGTAGGGTTTTACCAATCTCAACGATTGGCTTTGACTGGGGATTGTTTAATGCGGGGTGATCGAAAAGAAGATGTCAATAGCTAAAATTGCAACTGCAAGGGTGACGATACATATAAGCTACATTCAAAGTTTCATTGTAGTCTGGCTAATCGTTCCTAAGCTTCAGAAGCAGAACATACCCATGACTGAAACCGCACATTACTTCTGCTGTGGGTTGTACATTTTGGGTATCAGGGCATCGAGGAGGCCCAGTATAACGATTCTCAGCCAAATCGAAAGACCCCGCCGTTTCCTGTTTAAATGTTAATTGGCCGTTAACTCGTTAATAGTGCAAAATACCACCCAAAAGAGGCACATTTTCGGAATCAGCGCATCAAGAAGGCCTTGTATACTGATTTTCAGGCAAATCGAAAGGCCCCGCCGATTTCCGTTGAAATGTTTATTGGCCGTTAACTCATTAACGGTGCAAAATACCACCCAAAAGAGGTACCTTTTCGGAATCAGCGCATCGAGGAGGCCCTGTACACCGATTTTCAGCCAAATCGAAAGACCCCGCCGTTTCCCGTTAAAAGGTTAATTGGCCGTTAACTCGTTAACAGTGCAAAATACCACCCCAAAGAGGCACATTTTCGGAATCAGCGTATCGAGGAGGCCCTATATACCAATTTTGAGCTTAATTGAAACGCCCCGAAATATGCTGCTGTGAGGCTGATATTCGTTGCTGCTGAATTGACAGACGTCCACGACACTCCACTTTTGATGGGTGACATGACATTAGGGGAGAGTTTTAACTAAGCTGCATTGCGGCATTTGCGGTAATATGCGGCGTGTATGCCGCATTGTTTGTAAACTGCGACCACTAAATTAAAAACAAATCATCCTCATTGCTATTCCCTCGAAGAACGTTTATAAGCCTATAGTCTGACATAATCAAAACTTTTGGCATTCATCCTTATGATCATAGGCGCGGGAGCCGGGGGGGGGGGGGGGGGCAGTGGGGGCAGCCTGCCCCCCCAACTCTGGGGCCGTGGGGGCGGTGCCCCCACAGCTTTGAGACGGAATACCACACTTTTTTTGCAAATGTTTTCTTTTTTTGTTGAAAAGCCGAGGGGTGAAAAATAAGTGGCCTAAAACCGGTGAGAAAACTAGATTTGGGGGTACCCTAGGTTAATCTCTATTATGGTGTGCCCCCCCCCCCCAGTCGGAAAGTAGTTCCCGCGCCCCTGCTTATGATGTTATCTCTTATTTTCTGTAACTGCTTTCTCATATACCATTTCAGAGATATCTATTATCTAACCTCCTTTTGAATGAATAACACTTCATGCCTGAAATGCTCTCGTTATAAGATTCTTAGGTTGAAATTTACTAATTTACGTTCACCACAACCTACTTTTTCTGACAGCGGGACAAAGGAACGCTCAGCCGACTATATACAGCGGGACATAATGGGCTTCAGCCGGCTCCAGCGGAACAAAGTCGGACTCAGACGGTGGGACAAAGGTGGAATTCAGCCGGTTTGAGCGGGACACAATGGGATTCGCCCGGTCCCAGCGGGACACAATGGGACCCGGTCACTCGTGAGGTCCCAGCGGGACATAGTGGGACTCACATAGATCATACTCACATAGATCAAGAGTATCCGACCTTTGGTAGAAGGGATGCAGCTACCCTACAAAAATTACCGCAACACAATCGCCCAAGCCGCTGCTGAGATATGAGCCTCTCAAAATCACTACTTTTGCAAAACAGCTTGAACATGAACACCCTTGACTTTTCAGGTGGCACGTGCCACGACGGTCACTGAGATGTATCAAAAGTAGTCAATTACGGGGTAGAAGGGATGGGGCTACCCAGCAAAAAAGACCGCAGGCCAATCGTTCTAGCGGTTGCTGAGACATAAGCCTCTCAAAAGCGTTACAAGCCGGGCCGCTCATACTGAGATTTTTCCGTTATATTGAAAAGACTCGCTTCGCTCGCTGCACTCGCTCGCTCGTAATCAGTACAATCTGTCAGCCACAAAACTACACCCTGAAACAAACTGTTTGGGACACAGTACTGAGTACATGCATGTTAATGTATCACGGCCATAGCAAGGGACATCAAATTATTTACTTTCTTTGATATTTACAATGTTTTGACACCAAACTATTTTTTGAAAGCAGCAAATAAAAAACATGCAATCACCAGCCAGCCGTTGCCCAACTGAGCTTCGCAAATTTGTGTGCAGTTAACAAGGCAGGCTTCCGCTTTACGGTAAGAACATTAATTTTCAGGTCCGATTCTTTGCTTCGCTGCTAGAGGGGGTGGGGCGTCTTTCCCATCCTGGGCATCTTACCCCACTCTCCCCTACTATTTATGTTGATAGGTGACATGGTCGGTCAGGCATGAACAAATATCTATTTCTAAAGCGATTGTCGATCCACTTTTTAACGCCTCCACGGCCCACGCCCACGATGCATTACTACTGCCGAAAACGACTCAGCGCCAATTCCATGGGGAGGGGGCGGGGATGGGATTGGGTGGAACAGGGGAGCCAGCCATGTTGCCAGGGATCAGACACCGTTAGCCCGACCATTCGAAGACGAAATGAATCTAGAAAAGTAGCGTTGGGCGCAGTATGAATAAATTCGTGCTAGGATGGACAAAATCCCCAGTGTGCCGTCCGCCGCTCGGCATTCGGCAGCCTCAGCCGACCAGCACGCCAGGGACGCCCGGGGCCGGCGCTCTCCGAGGGGCGAGGGCCGTCCCGGGATCCAGCCGTCTCACCAGGTGACCACTGCAGACCAGCCGGCCGCCGCGGCTGACTTCTGCCGTGTATCGAGCAGGGCACCAGCAGAGTGACGACGGCAGCTGGACACGTGGGGTGGGCAGTTCAGGCGGCACGGCGCCCGGCCGCCGGTCAGCACACAGCCGCACCGAGGCTCTACATGTATTACATCGCTCTCGGCCGCGGTTTCGTGGCATGCATATCGTGTACAGATCATCAGGCACGCGGGCTCGGCACTCCCACACGCAGCGTCCCGAGCTACAACACTAGCAGCGTCATTCACGCGCGCGCGCGCACCGAGTAGAAAAAAAACACAGGCTAATACTTAAAATAGCACCATGGTGGCAGCGGCCGGTCGGCCGGCCGGCCGCCCCGGCCACTGAGGTCCCAGCCGGCCGGCCGGCCCGGCCACTGAGGTCCCAGCCGGCCGGCCGCCCCGGCCACTGAGGTCCCAGCCGGTCGGCGGCGGCGGCGGTCTGTCCACCGGGTGCCGGCGCCGGCCGCGCTCCACACCAGCAAGCTCGTCAGACGGTCGGCTCTGTCGTTTGGCACTGGGGTAGTAGCGGGCGCACGGTGGGTGCGCCGGGACGCCCACTGGCCGCCACTCACGGCTCCAGCTTGACGCGGGCGTAGCACTCTGTAGGCAGCGAGTCGGCCATGTCCTGAATATTGGCCACCTCCGCCCTCAGCTCCTCCAACTGCTGCTCGTAGTCGTCCACCTGGGGGGGGGGGGGGCGGTCAGCGGTCAGCGGTCAGCGGCCAGCGGGGCAGCGAGCCATCGCGGCCCGTCCCCGCTCCCTCCCGGCCCGTCCCTTACCCCGCCGTCCCCTCCCGGCCCGTCCCCTCCCCCCGGCCTCCCGGCCCATCCCCCTGCCCCTCCCGGCCCGTCCCCCTCCCCCGGCCTCCCGGCCCATCCCCCTGCCCCTCCCGGCCCGTCCCCCGCTCCCTCCTGGCCCGTCCCTTACCCCGCCGTCCCCTCACGGCCCGTCCCCTCCCCCCGCTCCCTCCCGGCCCGTCCCCTCCCCCGGCCTCCCGGCCCATCCCCCCCGGCCCGTTGCCGTTGTTGGGGACCCACCATGCGCTGCTGCTCGGTGCGGTTGGTGCGCAGCGCGTCAATCCTGCTGGGCAGCTGCTCGGCGGCCATGGCGCTCTCGGCCTGCTCCAGGCGGCGCTCCAGCAGGTCCAGGTCGGCGGCGGCGATACTGGTGCCGGCCGCCTCGCGCAGCGCCACCTCGATCAGACGCACCTCCTCCAGCGCCTTGTGCACCCGCTCGGAGGCGCGCTGCGCCGCCGAGCTGGCCTCGTTGGCCTTCTGGCGGGCGTCGCGCGCCTCCCGGGTGTCCTGCTCCAGCTGCCGGAGGGACGGGGCGGGGTGGGCCGTCAGACGGCACGGCGCGCCAGCCCGCCCGGTGTCCTGCTGCAGCTTACCCGTGGGACGGCAACACCCGACGGCTAGCTCGGGAACAAATAGAGCTACAGCGCCGCAGAAAAGCGCACTCAATACCTCTTTTAACGCTCTTTCGCTGACTCTTTACAGAGGGCAAAAACTAAAAATAGCCGTTTTTAAGGAAAAATGTTTTTCGATAATAACTTTTGACTCAAGAGAGCCACGACATTACTTTTGCCAGCATCGTGTTCCTTTCGTCGAGACGCGTCGAATGAACAATTTGTTGACCTTGAAAGGTCATTTTGAAATTTGACAGGTCAAGGTTATGACCTGACCGAAAAAGGTCATGTTGCATATCAGTCAGGCCGCGCGCGCCCACAGGGTTCTGTGTTGAATTCCGTACGGACCGCAAGCAGTCCGCACAGTGGACGGCGCGCGGCCTTGGCACCCAGTCCTGCCGGCCGGGCATGCGCTATACGGTCCGAGTGTGCGGCCGGAGGAGCGCAGCCACCCTGTCCGGCTGTGCCGCTCACCTGGCGCTCGTAGAGCTCCACGTCGGCGGCCGTGTCGTCCAGGCGCACCGCCTGGTCGGCGGCCTCCTGGCGCAGCGCCGCCGCGCGGCCCTTGGTCGCGGCCGACTCGGCCTGGATGGCGGTGGCCTCGCTCTGCGCCTGTGGATACGCCCGTCGGCACCGGTCAGGGCAGGGTCGGCGGGGCAGCGGAGCAGCGCGCGCAGAACGGCAGTGGAGCAGCGCGCACAGAACGGCAGTCGGCGGGGCAGCGGAGCAGCGCGCACAGAACGGCAGCGGAGCAGCGCGCACAGAACGGCAGCGGAGCAGAGAACGGCAGCGGAGCAGCGCGCAGAGAACGGCAGTCGGCGCGCACAGAACGGCAGTCGGCGCGCACAGAGAACGGCAGCGGAGCAGCGCGCACAGATCGGCAGCGGAGCACAGACCGACACACGACGGCTCTCGAGATTTGGTATCCCCAATCGATATCAACATCATTACAGCCCACAACACCCACTAAACAGTACGCTGACGAGCCACATTCAGAGTTCACTGTTGACCATGGCTGGACACGCCCCTGCCGCCGCCCCGCCCCGGGCGCCCCAGCCACTGACCTGCTCGGCCATCGTCTCAGCGGCGGCGGCGATGTCGCGCGCGTCATCGGCGTTGGTCTCGGCGCCCTGCAGCGCGGCGCGCGCGTCGGCCGTCTGGCGCTCGGCCTGCCCGATCTGGTCGGCGATGTCAGCCACCTGCTGCAGGGCGGCGGCGGCCAGCTGGCGCGACTCCTGCACAGACCGGTCGAAGCCCTGCAGGGTCTCCAGCGTACCGCGAGCGTCCTCCAGGGTCTGTTCGCCGGCCGTCACCGCCTTCACCGCCTGTGGGCGCGGCGGCCGGCCGTCACAGCGGGCACTGCACCGCACAGCCCGCCACAGCGGGAGACTACACAACACAGACAGGGCGGGAGACTACACAACACTGACCATCACAGCGGGAGACTACACAACACAGTCAGGGCGGGAGACTCCACACAACACAGACAGGGCGGGAGACTCCACACAACACTGACCGTCACAGCGGGCACTGCACCGCACAGCCCGCCACAGCGGGAGACTACACAACACAGTCAGGGCGGGAGACTCTACAACACAGTCAGGGCGGGAGACTCCACACAACACAGACAGGGCGGGAGACTCCACAACGCGGACAGTCAGGGCGGGAGACTCCACAACGCGGACAGTCAGGGCGGGAGACTCTACACTGCGGGATAGACAACCACAGCAAGGAGACTCGGTGGACGTCGGCACGAAATAATATTCAGTAATAACTAGCGGAACAACCACAAAATATGCCGTGGACTGACGATTTATATCTGTAACTTAAAGAACAGTTTAATAAGGTGAACATAAGGCTAGCCAACAGAGAAGCAAAGAAAAAACGAACGTTAAATAGGTTGCCGGTTAAATGATTGGCACGCCAGGTTCGAATTATTGCCACTAGTTGGGGTCAGCAGCGGGCGGGTGGTGACTGGTGAGGTGCCACTGCCGGCGGTATTGCCACTAGTTCGGGTCAGCAGCGGGCGGGTGGTGACTGGTGCGGGGTGCCACTGCCGGCGGTATTGCCACTAGTTCAGGTGGAGCGGGCGGGTGGTGACTGGTGAGGTGCCACTGCCGGCGGTAGGCGGGCGAACCATGGCGCACCTTGTCGCGCGCGGCGTCCACGGCGGCCATCAGTTCGTCGGCCTGCTGCTGCTGCACCAGACCGCGCGCCAGCAGCTCGGACACCGAGCTGACGTCCGCCTCCAGCTGGCCCAGCAGCGGCCCGTGCTCGGCCGTCAGCGCCTCCAGGTCAGTGCTGAGCCGCTGCGTCTGCCGGGACAGGGGGACAGGGGGGGGGGTCAGCACTGAGCCGCCGGGACGGGCTGACAGGGAGACAGGGGGTCAGCACTGAGTCGCCGGGACGGGGGGACAGGGGGGTCAGCACTGAGCCGCCGGGACAGGGGGGTCAGCGCTGAGCCGCTGCGTCTGCCGGGACAGGGGGACAGGGGGATGAGCACTGAGCCGGGACAGGGGGGACAGAAGGGTCAGCACTGAGCCGCCGGGACGGGGGGTCAGGGGGGTCAGCACTGAGCCGCCGGGACGGGGGAACAGGGGGTCAGCGCTGAGCCGCTGCGTCTGCCGGGACAGGGGGGTCAGCACTGAGCCGCCGGGACAGGGGGACGGGGGGCCAGCACTGAGCCACCGGGACGGGGGGACAGGGGGTCAGCACTGGGCCGCCGGGACAGGGGGGGGGGGGGGTCAGCACTGAGCCGCCGGGACGGAGGGACAGGGGGTCAGCACTGGGCCGCCGGGACGGGGGGACAGGGAGCGGCAGTACTGGGCCGCCGGGACGGGGGGACAGGGGGATCAGCACTGAGCTGCCGGGACGGGGGACAGGGGGTCAGCACTGAGCCGCCGGGACAGGGGGACAGGGGGTCAGCACTGAGCCGCCGGGACGGGGGGACAGGGAGCGGCAGCACTGAGCCGCCGGGACGGGGGACAGGGGGGTCAGCACTGAGCCGCCGGGACGGGGGGACAGGGGGGTCAGCACTGAGCCGCCGGGACGGGGGGACAGGGGGGAGGGTCAGCACTGAGCCGCCGGGACAGGGGGACAGGGGGTCAGCACTGAGCCGCCGGGACGGGGGACAGGGGGGTCAGCACTGAGCCGCCGGGACGGGGGGACAGGGGGGTCAGCACTGAGCCGCCGGGACGGGGGGACAGGGGGGAGGGTCAGCACTGGGCCGCCGGGACGGGGGGACAGGGGGGTCAGCACTGAGCCGCCGGGACGGGGGGACAGGGAGCGGCAGTACTGGGCCGCCGGGACGGGGGGACAGGGGGAGGGTCAGCACTGATCCGCCGGGACGGGGGGACAGGGAGCGGCAGCACTGAGCCGCCGGGACGGGGGACAGGGGGTCAGCACTGAGCCGCCGGGACGGGGGGACAGGGGGAGGGTCAGCACTGAGCCGCCGGGACAGGGGGACAGGGGGTCAGCACTGAGCCGCCGGGACGGGGGGACAGGGAGCGGCAGCACTGAGCCGCCGGGACGGGGGACAGGGGGTCAGCACTGAGCCGCCGGGACGGGGGGACAGGGGGGTCAGCACTGAGCCGCCGGGACGGGGGGACAGGGGGGAGGGTCAGCACTGAGCCGCCGGGACAGGGGGACAGGGGGTCAGCACTGAGCCGCCGGGACGGGGGACAGGGGGGGGTCAGCACTGAGCCGCCGGGACGGGGGACAGGGGGGTCAGCACTGAGCCGCCGGGACGGGGGGACAGGGGGAGGGTCAGCACTGGGCCGCCGGGACGGGGCAGGACAGCCTGACAGCGCCGGCTGGCGCGGGGCGCTGCGCTCGCCTTAGTTCCGGCCGCGGCCGACGCGACTGGTGCTGCGGTCGCCGTCGATAAGGTGCACTGAGTGACGAGCATATACGGCGGGGTCAGCAGACGGGGTACGGTACGGCTCAGGCGGGGTGCGGTACGGCTCAGACGGGGTGCGGTACGGCAGCAGACGGGGTACGGTACGGCTCAGACGGAGTACAGTACGGCTCAGACGGGATACGGTACGGCTCAGACGGAGTACAGTACGGCTCAGACGGGATACGGTACGGCTCAGACGGGATACGGTACGGCTCAGACGGGGTGCGGTACGGCTCAGACGGGGTGCGGTACGGCTCAGACGGGGTGCGGTACGGCTCAGACGGGGTGCGGTACGGCTCAGACGGAGTACGGTACGGCTCAGACGGGTTATGGGGCGGCACACGGGGTACGGCCGGGACGACTAGACACAGTGAATGCCCCGGGTCATGAGTGACGTTCAGAGTCCCCAGCACACCACCCTGATCCAGTGGGGCCCACCGTGCGGCTCGCACAGTCTCTGCCTGGATGGCCGTCAGGCGGCGCTCACCTGGGCACGCAGCTCGTCGGCGCGCCGTTTGAGGCCGTCCACGTCCACGTCCGGCACGGCCGCCTTGGCCTCCGTGTAGACACTGATGGCCGAGTCGGCCGCGTCGCCGGCGTCCCGGCGCGCCTCGGCCGCCTGCTGGCGCGTCTGCGTCACCAGCTGCTCCAGCGAGCCCAGGCTGGTCTCCAGCAGCTGCATCTCGTTGCTGCAGCAGCGCAATGCGCAGACACGGGGCAGCGGTCGGTTACTACAACGAACGCACTGCGGAGACACTGCAGACCAGTGGTGGGCACTTCGGTAACCCCCATCGATAACGATTATCGAAGTCGTTATCGACGATAACGTTTTTCCAAGTTTATCGTTATTGATTATCGTCATCGAAGTAGCGTTATCGAAGTCCCCGTTTCGGTCAATCGATAATGATAACATCAGCAAATACTTACGACGCAAGCGTATTTAAGGGAATAGTTCACCTTCACCATGTGGTATTGAACTGATATAGCAGTTGTGTAGATTGAGCAATGAAAATGCTATTTAGAATGTCTTTCGGGTCAACAAGCTCTATCGCCAAAGATATTCAAGTTTTTGTTTGTACGATTGTTTGTTTGTACGAGAAAATTAACATTTTCACTGTTCTAAGCCTTCCTTTTTTGTGTAAGCAGCTGAGTATTCTGGATTGTTGTATGAGCGAAGGAGTTAAAGATTAATTAGAAGCTTATTGCCTTATTCCTTTCAAATATTGTATCCTTTCGATTTCTTTCTTTTTTGAAGTTATCGTTATCGTTATCGCGTTATCGAAGTGACCCATTTGGTTATCGATTTATCGTTATTCAAGTCGCTGACCTCGAAAAAGGTTATCGAATTATCGTTACGAAGTCCGGGTCCAGTTACGAATGCCCACACCTGCACTGGACGACTGCACCACAGAGGTAGGCATCCGCCGAACGGCACAACACATAGGTATCCAGAACGAGTGGCCGTTAGGTACGATGAGGTCGCATCAAATGTCATTGCTCGTGGAGGTATATAATAACTCGAAATTACAGAACAATCCATATAGAAAAAAACCGTACACCTACGTGATTTCTCCATGGAAGGATAATGACAGAAAATGTGCAAATTACAGAAAATACCCGGAAAATGACGATAACAGAGAGTCAAAGGAAGACAAGAAAGACGGTAATATATCCAACAATCAGTTTCCAAGGAATTCTATCACCCATCCGACAAGAGTTGTTTCTCTGAAAACAGCCTGTTTCACGTATCGACAGAACGCATCTGCCATGACTGTGCTCGGGTGTGCCGCGGCGGTTCCCGCAGTGGCCGCCGCCGCCGACCCACCTGAAGTTGCGCTGCTGGCCCACCGCCTGGCGCGCCATCTCGTAGGCGTCCGTGGCGTTGTTCACGGCGCTGACGGCCGTGGCCGAGACGTTGGCTGCCTGTGCCTCGTGCTGGTCGGCCAGGCGGCGCGCCTCGCGCGCGATCTCAGACATGCGCCCGCTCTGTATGCCGAACTGTTTGGACTGCTCGACGGCGCGGCTGAGCGCATCCGCGCCGTCGCGCTCCAGGAACTCGAGCGTCTCTTTGACGGTCTTGTCGAGCCGGTCGAGCAGCTGCTCGACGTCGGAGACGTTGCGCTCGCCCTGGCCGGCCACGAGGCGCGCCTGCTCCGTGTGAGTGACGATCTGGCCGGCCAGCTCGCGAACCTCGTCCAGTCGCACCTGCCGCACGATCACCGGGGGGCTGAGGCTGCTGACCGCGGCACACTGCCCACACCAGGGCAGTGGGCTGAGGCTGCTGACCGCGACACACTGCCCACACCAGGGCAGTGTGCTCTGACCGCAGCACACTGCCCACACCAGGGCAGTGTGCTCTGACCGCAGCACACTGCCCACACCAGGGCAGTGTGCTCTGACCGCGGCACACTGCTCACACCAGGGCAGTGTGCTCTGACCGCGGCACACTGCTCACACCAGGGCAGTGTGCTCTGACCGCGGCACACTGCCCACACTAAGGCAGTGGGCTGAGGCTGCTGACCGCGGCACACTGCCCACACCAGGCGCACCAACGGCAAACATCACTGCACAGTGAGCACACACAGTACGTACGTGAGATCAGCTACACAAGGTGACAGAATTTACGCTGTGTACAGCGGCATTAGAACTGCTATTTATACGCTTATTATACAGGCAGAACGGATCGCGTGTGACGGCATCCCTGAAGGCGCCGCACGACTGCAAGTAACAATCAACTGTAACGACTGAGACAATGAGCCCGCAAACTGGCAGCTAACCAGCGCCGTTAGCTAACGGCTAATTTATTACCGCTTACCACGGGCCGAGTCGCGCCCGGTCATAGGATGACGGTCCGTCCCCACAGCACAGTCATAGAATGGTTACCGTACTGCACCACAGTCATAAAACGGTTACCGTACTACAGCACAGTCATAAAACGGTTACCGTACTACACCACAGTCATAGAATGGTTACCGTACTACAGCACAGTCATAATAAAACGGTTACCGTCCACTTCCGTCATACATAGTCTGGTCATTGGTCACCCAGTACCTCGGTCATAGAACGGCGTTCCGTCCGTCATCAGGTGCTTAGTGGTTACCGTCCCGTCCACCTCGGCTCGAGCTCCGCCCGCGCGGCACGCCGGCCGGCCGGCTCTCGGCAGCGCGGCCCTGGCCCGTCACTGGGCGCGCTTGGTCGCAGACCGCGGCTCGCCAGACAGCCACTCAAACAATGTGCAGTGTTTGCGGATCCCGCAGTCGGCCGTCGTCTCCTGACGCGGTGGGTGGCCTCTCGACAGCGACCCCCTGCACGGCGGCCGGACCGCGGGAGCCTGCACTCCACAGGGACAGAGGGCCGCGGGAGCCTCCACTCCACAGGGACAGAGGACCACGGGAGCATCCACTCCACAGGGACAGAGGACCGCGGGAGCCTCCACTCCACAGGGACAGAGGGCCGCGGGAGCCTCCACCCCACAGGGACAGAGGGCCGCGGGAGCCTCCATTCCACAGGATCCAGGGACAGAGGGCCGCAGGAGCCTCCACTCCACAGGGACAGAGGGCCGCAGGAGCCTCCACTCCACAGGGACAGAGGGCCGCGGGAGCATCCACTCCACAGGGACAGAGAGCCGCGGGAGCCTCCACTCCACAGGGACAGAGAGCCGCGGGAGCCTCCACTCCACAGGGACAGAGAGCCGCGGAAGCCTCCACTCCCCAGGGACAGAGGACCGCGGGAGCCTCCACTCCACAGGGACAGAGGGCCGCAGGAGCCTCCACTCTACAGGGACAGATGACCGCGGGAGCCTCCACTCTACAGGGACATAGGGCCGCGGGAGCCTCCACTCCACAGGGACAGAGGGCCGCGGGAGCCTCCACTCCACAGGGAGGGCCGCGGGAGCCTCCACTCCACAGTGACAGAGGGCCGCGGGAGCCTCCACTCCACAGGGAGGACCGCGGGAGCCTCCACTCCACAGGGACAGAGGGCCGCGGGGGCCTCCACTCCACAGGCAGGACCGCGGGAGCCTCCACTCCACAGGGAGGACCGCGGGAGCCTCCACTCCACAGGGACAGAGGGCCGCGGGAGCCTCCACTCCACAGGGACAGAGGGCCGCGGGAGCCTCCACTCCACAGGGAGGACCGCGGGAGCCTCCACTCCACAGGGAGGACCGCGGGAGCCTCCACTCCACAGGGAGGACCGCGGGAGCATCCACTCCACAGGGAGGGCCGCAGGAACCTCCACTCCACAGGGATGACCGCGGGAGCATCCACTCCACAGGGACAGAGGGCCGCGGGAGCCTCCACTCCACAGGGAGGACCGCGGGAGCCTCCACTCCACAGGGAGGACCGCGGGAGCCTCCACTCCACAGGGAGGACCGCGGGAGCCTCCACTCCACAGGGAGGACCGCGGGAGCCTCCACTCCACAGGGACAGAGGGCCGCGGGAGCCTCCACTCCACAGGGACAGAGGGCCGCGGGAGCCTCCACTCCACAGGGAGGACCGCGGGAGCCTCCACTCCACAGGGAGGACCGCGGGAGCCTCCACTCCACAGGGAGGACCGCGGGAGCATCCACTCCACAGGGACAGAGGACCACGGGAGCCTCCACTCCACAGGGATAGAGGGCCGCGGGAGCCTCCACCCCACAGGGACAGAGGGCTGCGAGAGCATCCACTCCACAGGGACAGAGGACCGCGGGAGCCTCCACTCCACAGGGACAGAAGGCTGCGAGAGCCTCCACTCCACAGGGACAGAGGGCCGCGGGAGCCTCCACTTCACAGGGAGGACCGCGGGAGCCTCCACTCCACAGGGACAGAGGGCTGCGGGAGCCTCCACTCCACAGGGACAGAGGGCTGCGGGAGCCTGCACTCCACAGGGACAGAGGGCCGCGGGAGCCTGCACTCCACAGGGACAGAGGGCCGCGGGAGCCTGCACTCCACAGGGACAGAGGGCCGCGGGAGCCTCCACTCCACAGGGACAGAGGGCCGCGGGAGCCTCCACTCCACAGGAACAGAGGGCCGCGGGAGCCTCCACTCCACAGGGACAGAGGACCACGGGGAGCCTCCACTCCACAGGGACAGAGGGCCGAGGGGAACCTCCACTCCACAGGGACAGAGGACCGCGGGAGCCTCCACTCCGCAGGGACAGAGGGCCGCGGGAGCCTCCATTCCACAGGATCCAGGGACAGAGGGCCGCAGGAACCTCCACTCCACAGGGACAGAGGGCCGCGGGAGCCTCCACTCCACAGGGACAGAGGACCACGGGGAGCCTCCACTCCACAGGGACAGAGGGCCGCGGGAGCCTCCATTCCACAGGATCCAGGGACAGAGGGCCGCAGGAGCCTCCACTCCACAGGGACAGAGGGCCGCGGGAGCCTCCACTCCACAGGGACAGAGGGCCGCGGGAGCATCCACTCCACAGGGACAGAGGGCCGCGGGAGCCTCCACTCCACAGGGAGGACCGCGGGAGCCTCCACTCCACAGGGACAGAGGGCCGCGGGGGCCTCCACTCCACAGGGAGGACCGCGGGAGCCTCCACTCCACAGGGAGGGCCGCGGGAACCTCCACTCCACAGGGCTGACCGCTGGAGCATCCACTCCACAGGGACAGAGGGCCGCGGGAGCCTCCACTCCACAGGGAGGACCGCGGGAGCCTCCACTCCACAGGGAGGACCGCGGGAGCCTCCACTCCACAGGGACAGAGGGCCGCGGGAGCCTCCACTCCACAGGGACAGAGGGCCGCGGGAGCCTCCACTCCACAGGGACAGAGGGCCGCGGGAGCATCCACTCCACAGGGAGGACCGCGGGAGCCTCCACTCCACAGGGAGGACCGCGGGAGCCTCCACTCCACAGGGACAGAGGGCCGCGGGAGCCTCCACTCCACAGGGAGGACCGCGGGAGCCTCCACTCCACAGGGACAGAGGGCCGCGGGAGCCTCCACTCCACAGGGACAGAGGGCCGCGGGAGCCTCCACTCCACAGGGACAGAGGACCGCGGGAGCCTCCACTCCACAGGGACAGAGGGCCGCGGGAGCCTCCACTCCACAGGGAGGACCGCGGGAGCCTCCACTCCACAGGGACAGAGGGCCGCAGGAGCCTCCACTCTACAGGGACAGATGACCGCGGGAGCCTCCACTCCACAGGGACAGAGGGCCGCGGGAGCCTCCACTCCACAGGGACAGAGGGCCGCCGCCCCACTGAGCAGCGCACCTCCTTCCTTATGATACACGGCAGAACTCGCGGGGCTAGCCTCTATAGCGCATTAAACCAACTAAAATTTAAACTAAAATTTATTTTAGTTTCGATATTATGCGGAGAAGGAAGGTATGTACGTACTTCTGAAGGAGAAGGTACATACTTACGGCTCCGACTGACCTGGACGGCCGGCGCTACTGACCTGCAGGTCGCCGAGGAGCTGCAGCGGGCTACGCTCGCCGCTGGTGGCCGTCTGCGCCGACTCGAGGAGCTGGCGCGTGGCGAGCACCACCTCCTGCAGGCGCTCCTCGAACTGGCGGTCATCGGGCAGCGACGGACTGTCGGTGACGTTGCGGATCAGAGCCGACAGCTGCTCCAGCTTGGCGCGGTGCGCGTCCACCGCCTCCTGCACCAGCGTGTAGCACGGCGGACAGTCTGCGGGGAACGGGGGGCGTCAGGGGCGGGCAGTCTGCGGGGAACGGAGGGGGGGGGGGGGGCGCCAGGGGCGGACAGTCTGCGGGGAACGGGGGGGGCGTCAGGTGCGGACAGTCTGCAGGGAACGGGGGGCGTCAGGGGCGGACAGTCTGCGGGGAACGGGGGGGGGGCGTCAGGGGCGGACAGTCTGCGGGGAACGGGGCCAGGGGTGTCAGGCTGTACCACAGACAGGGAGCAGGGCGTCAGGGGCGGGCTGTACCACAAACAGAGCGAGTCGAGCGGAGCCACGGGCAGGGGAGCCGCGGCACCAGGGGATCACACTCACGTACAGCCGCTCACGTACGGACCAAAGTGGGACGGCACGCGGCCACGGTGACACAGCTGAGCCGCGGTGAAAGTACTGGTCCAGACTCCAGAGGTGTCCAGCGGCGTGCCGCGCGCACTCACCTGTGACCTGTGGCTGCCACACCTGCCCTGCTGACCTGTCAGGTCACCCGCCGCCAGTACCACACCTGCCCTGCTGACCAGGTCAGGTCACCTGTGGCTGCCACACCTGCCCTGCTGACCAGGTCAGGTCACCTGTGGCTGCCACACCTGCCCTGCTGACCAGGTCAGGTCACCTGTGGCTGCCACACCTGCCCTGCTGACCAGGTCAGGTCACCCGCCGCCAGTACCACACCTGCCCTGCTGACCAGGTCAGGTCACCTGTGGCTGCCACACCTGCCCTGCTGACCAGGTCAGGTCACCTGGGGCTGCCACACCTGACCTGTTGACTAGGTCAGGTCACCGGCGGATCAAGCCGCCGAGTGTGCGCAGGTGGTGTCGCTCCTGTGACGGCCGCGACGTCACAGGGCCGCGGTGCGGAGCGCAGGTGTCTGTTTACAGTGGGGAGGCGGAGGCGCCGGCGCACCAACCATCTCCAACAGCGAGGAGCGAGGAAGAGGGAGTGAGGTGGCGGGATGACCTAACGAGAGGCCCCGGAGCTCGGGCCGCAGAGGGGTGGCGAGACCGCAGCTCCCCCCCTCTCCACACACACACACACACACGGACTGGCGGGCTCGAGTGACTGCTCAGCAGCGTCATCGGCCGCCGGCTCAGTCAGATGATGGACGTCCAATGAACTCGGTCCGACCCGAGCACTGGACCCGATCGCCCTCCCTCAGCGCCCGGACGCCGGGTCGTGACTATAGGTACACAGCAGAGGTCTCTACACGACTATAGACAGGACACTTGCTCGATCAGATAGGGCGTGGTAGTCCTACTCCTTTCTATTTTATGATGTGGTTCACTAAACTCCTGTTATCGTACTCGAACGGAATCAACGGGAGATGTCGGCATAACTTCACAACACAACATCTGGTGCTCCGATCTTGTCCTCAGATTATGGGCTCATTTTTCACAGCGCCTAGACTTTTCTCCGCATGGCGTAGCCCGCCGCCCGGCTGAAGCTGCCCGGCTGCTAAAGCTGCCTGCCTGCTGAAGCTGCCCGGCTGCGACAGGTCTCAGCCGGTGTCCTCCCAGCTAGTCGCCGCGCCGCCGCAATACACTCGCCGGCGCAGGGCCACATTACTGGGGCGGAGCGGTCGACGCGATACACTCGCCGGCGCAGGGCCACATTACTGGGGCGGAGCGGTCGACGCGATACACTCGCCGGCGCAGGGCCACATTACTGAGGCGGATACACGCGCGCCGAGCGGGCCTCTATCCAGGCCGCATCTCGGCGCGGCCGTCTTTATTCCAACGGTGACCGGCACTGCCTGACCCACCCGGCGCTCCCGACCGAGGACAGATTGGGTACTGTGACGGACACACCGCGCCACGGCGGACGGCGCCGGCTCCCGGTGGGACGGGGACCGCGCCACGGCGGACCGCGCGCGGCTCCCGCGCGGTGGGACGGGGACCGCGCCACTCGCCACTGAGGCGACACAGGAACTGCTGCGAGAGGTGGCAGAGTCCAGCGGTGTCCGGACGGACGGACGCCGAAATTCCATGGCCCTGTACGAGCGGTCCGATGCCGGAATGCTGCCCGAGCTCTCAGACTCGGATAGAATGCAGTGACGCCGACCATCGCGCGGAGCTCAGTATTGCCTGGCGCGATCAGCGTGTTAGGGGGGGGGGGGATGCCGCGCCGGCGGCCGCCGAGGGAACTGACACGGACGCAGCCAGCTCGGCCGGCCGTGTACGGAGACCGGGGCGGGAGCCGGCCGTGTACGGAGACCGGGACGGGAGCCGGCCGCGGCCCGGGGAGACGCACCGCATGGTCACCGGCCGGCCGCCCCACCAGTCTAGTCCGCCCCGCCAGTCCAGTCCAATCCAGTCCGGCGCGCCAGGTCAATCCACCCCACCAGACCAGTCCACCCCGCCATGGTCAGCCCGCCCCGCCAGGTCAGTCAGCCCCGCCAGGCCAGTCAGCCCCGCCAGGCCAGTCAGCCCCGCCAGGTCAGTCCGCCCCACCAGACCAGTCCGCCCCGCCAGTTCAGCCCGCCGCGCCAGGTCCGCCCGCCCCACCAGACCAGTCCGCCGCACCAGACCAGTCCGCCCCACCAGACCAGTCCGCCCCGCCAGACCAGTCCAATCCAGTCCGCCCCAGCAGACCAGCCCGCCCCACCAGTTCAGCCCGCCGCGCCAGTTCAGCCCGCCGCGCCAGGTCAGCCCACCCCACCAGACCAGTCCGCCCCACCAGACCAGTCCGCCCCGCCAGGTCAGCCCGCCCCGCCAGGTCAGCCCGCCCCACCAGACCAGTCCGCCCCACCAGACCAATCCGCCCCACCAGGTCAGTCCGCCCCACCAGACCAGCCCGCCCCACCAGACCAGCCCGCCGCGCCAGGTCAGTCCGCAGCGCCAAACAACGCCGCTGGGGAAAGGCAGCCGCACATACCACGAATTGGAAAGTCGGAGCGAAATGGCCGCCGAGTCCGGCCGAAAGGCATTATTAACGAGCCGTCAATTGTAAATTCATAGCTCGTGCCAACCTCGGGAGAACAGCCCGCAGCCATTCAGCGTTTCAAAGTCATGTTTGGTGAGGTACGGTGGTGCGCACTCCGAACTCACGCGCTCCGGACGCTCATGGAAGGACCCGCCGGCTGGGAGTCCACTCAGGTGTAGAGGCAGGAGGAACGATTACTCGAGCTGTTTTGTATGACTGGCGCGCCCTGCCTGACGGCGGCGCGTCATCCGCACCCGAGTTCACCCAGCATTGTGTGTGCCGTATGGTCCCCGGCCGGGTTCACTCACTGCAGTGTGGTCCCCGGCCGGGTTCACTCACCAGTGTGGTCCCCGGCCCGCGCTGCACGGCCGACATGAGTTACGGTCCATCCTGATCCAGAGCCCGTCCGACTCTGGTTGGGCCGCACACGACTAGCTACACTGTCAGTCACACACCACATACACCACGGTACACAACGCCGCTGCAATCGAATGCTGCCCGGCGCCCGCGTTCCACTGTGCCAAGCAGAAGTCACGACATGGCGAATTCGAATGGCCTTTGACCGCAGCACGGAATCCGCGGCGACTTCGAATGGCCTTTGGCCGAGACAGAGAATCGGCGACATGCAACACCAGAGCTCCGTGCAGCCGCTGCGCGCCGCAGCTGCGGGATGGCATTCGCAAAAGGCCCTCTTAGGCAACTGAAACGAGAAAAACGACATGACTGACGTGGAGGAGCGGCGACAGCGTCGGCGGGCTGGCGGACGTCTCGCACAGCAGAGCCCGACCGTGGAGCAATGTCGTCTCGCAGAGCAGAGCCCGACCATGGAGCAATGTCGTCTCGCTCGAGCCCGACCATGGAGCAATGTCGTCTCGCAGAGCAGAGCCCGACCGTGGAGCAATGTCGTCTCGCTCGAGCCCGACCATGGAGCAATGTCGTTGCAATGCAAGACTGACTGACATTAGATCGGTACCTACAATCGCGTATGGTAGATAGTAAGTGATCAAGCCTGTAATGCAGAGTTCAGCTGAAGAGCACGTTGCTATAAAAATGAAGCATTTACAAACAATGTCGTGGAGTTAATTGCTCATTGCTAACCATTAGAGGTTTCCAACGATGCACATCTGAGCGGGCGGCCGTCGGACGCGCAGGCGACGGCCCGCGATTGGCACCTCCGTACCTTCCCCCGCGGCCCGCACCGTGTCCCGTACCGTGCCACCAGCCGGCAGGGCGGCGCGGCGGTCCGCCGGCAGAGCGCACAATGAGGGGGCGTGTCTGACACCAGGGGCGTGTCTGACACCAGGGGCGTGTCTGCGGGGCATGATGGCCGCCGCCCGCCCAACCCGACCCCGCACCGACCTGCAGTGTGATACCCATCCACCGAGCGCCGAGCGGCGGCTTTCCAACTCTCCCTGTCGTACAGGCGCACACAGTCCCTCCGTGACTGGACAGGGCCACTGTCCGCCGCCCGTCCCTGACCGGTCAGGTGACGACTGCCGCTGCCCGTCGGACCACTGTCCTCTGCTGCCCGTCCCTGACCGGTCAGGTGACGACTGCCGCTGCCCGTCGGACCACTGTCCGCTGCCCGCCGGACCACTGTCCTCTGCTGCCCGTCCCTGACCGGTCAGGTGACGGCTGCCGCCGCCCGCCGGAACACTGTCCGCTACCCGTCCCTGACCGGCCAGGTGACGACTGCCGCCGCCCGCCGGACCACTGTCCGCCGCCCGCCGGACCACTGTCCTCTGCTGCCCGTCCCTGACCGGTCAGGTGACGACTGCCGCTGCCCGTCGGACCACTGTCCGCCGCCCACCGGACCACTGTCCTCTGCTGCCCGTCCCTGACCGGTCAGGTGACGGCTGCCGCCGCCCGCCGGAACACTGTCCGCCGCCCGCCGGACCACTGTCCTCTGCTGCCCGTCCCTGACCGGTCAGGTGACGACTGCCGCTGCCCGTCGGACCACTGTCCTCTGCTGCCCGTCCCTGACCGGTCAGGTGACGGCTGCCGCTGCCCGTCGGACCACTGTCCGCTGCCCGCCGGACCACTGTCCTCTGCTGCCCGTCCCTGACCGGTCAGG